GCATGGCCAGGTATCCCTCAGTCTTCAGTAGCCAGGCTTTTAGGCTGAATCGGAGAGGGCTGGCCTGTGGCCCAACACTGCCTTGGTGCGTAAGAGCAGGGTAAACGCAGCTGTACTCAAGGAAACATATGTGGAGCCTAATACTGAAATACGAGGGGAGAATTGTTCCTCCAGAGCACCTTCTGTCCCTGCAGTTGAGGCTATGGTAGCACTCCCAGGTGGGTGTTTGCAAGGCTGCTGTGTTTGGAACTGAGGGTGGGGTTCCTAACTGCAGATCCTGTTTGGGATTGAGAGCCCCTCTGAGTTGTCCAGGGTGCAGCCTTGCCTTTCCCTGGCCTTTCTAGTGTGCTTCACATGCACCACTATCACTGCTTTGAAGCTATAAGCAATGCTGGCTCTCCCTCTTCCTCCTTCTCCCCCTCTCATTCCAAAATGCCAAGCATGTGCATCCCCTGGGCAGTCTGGGTCTTGGGATGTGCTGGTTGAAATAGATGTACAGGCTTTGCAGGGGATCCAAGGTCAATGCTTTCTTTGCTTTAGATCGTACAAGAAATATATGTATGTACCTACAGTAATAAGTGTTTACATTAAGTGTTCTGCCTGTGTTTTCTTATCATTCTGTAATTATGGGGGGAAAAAGGGAAGTTTTTCTCAGTGTTGAGGCTACTTTTTCTACAAGCTTTTAGCTGTAGAAAGCTGTCTCCAGTTCCATTTGCCACACAACATTTGGTCAGGTTTGTTACATTAATGATTCTTTCACCATGTCCATCTTAATTACTGCATCAGCTGAGGTCAAACTTGGTAATACTGGCACATGCCATAGGACAGCCATGGGAGTAAATAATGTTCAAAGGTTAACAACCTTTTCTTATTAGCCTTTCCTCCTCACCTTTTTGAAGGACAGGACAGAAGTTAAACAGCAGAATATTTCATTTTCAAATTACTTCAAGCCTGCCACCTACCAGAGGAGACAGTTTTGAATGGACACCATATGCTGTGTAGATGCATTCCCTTGATCATCACATCAGAGCTTCTGATGCTTCACCAGGAGAATTTTAGGTTAAGACTGTCCTGAACATCAATGTGAAACAACAGGTCTGTTCAGGCAATGTAAAAATAATAACTCCTCCAGATGGTAGCAAGATTTGTGGGAGGTGTTACAGCATTAAGGACAAAAAGAAGAGCACATTACTTTAGTTCATCCTGTCGCATGACCCTAGTTTACAAGAGCGCAGGCCCATGTGTAGCATGGGAAAGCAGTTTCCTCTCCTGCAGAGCCAACACTACACAGACAATTGCTATTCTGCCCTGGCGTGCGTGAGGGCTGCTCTGTCTTGGCAGGGAACCGGACTTAATTCCTGAGCGCGTTATTGCTACGTGCGCACGGGTACCGCTTTGTGCAGTGCTCGGTGGTTGGTCTGATGGAAACTGTTCATGAAAAAATCTGGAAAAACGTAGGCTAGCAGGCTACCGGGGCAGGGCAGTGGGAAGGAGTTGGAGGCAGAAAGGCAGCAGGGAGGGAGTGGGAAACATGAATGCATCAGTGGAAGTGCAGCCAGTGCAGTGGTTTGGGCACACCAAGCTGAACAGGGCAGAGTGGGACCGGGTACATTCATTACAGCTGTGCTGCAGCGTGGCAGCCTCTCGCTTTACGACACAGTGAGCATAACGTAGGGCAGACCTATTGCCCAGGTCACATCTTCTTGTGAGAAAGCCATGGAAAATGAGCTGCTGATTAGCTGTTCTAGAGCCAGTGCAGCCAGGTACAAACGAGTACCCATCACTGTATCTCCTCAGCCAGAACAGCAGGAGCATCTGCCTGGACTTCCCAATTAGCTGTCTGCCTCTCCGCAAAGCTGCAAGCAGGGTGACCCCACACCTGGTTGAAATCAGTACGTTTTGCTGCACTGTTCTCCAAGCAATCCAGCACAGCCCTCAAGTGTTCAGTTTTGCACTTGAAGATCCTCTGATTTTTCATTTATTTTCATTAAGTAGTAAATAAACAGAAGCTGTGTTACTGCAGTGCAAAGCCAAGGTTGTTTCCAACCCTCAAGTGGCCACACGCAGCTGGGAGGAGTGGTGGCCCTGCAGCCTAATCCCTGCCTACGTCATTTTAAAATTTGGAAATGTCCCCCCGAGGCAAATTAAAGGTTATTTTGTAAATATATAATGAACACACCAGAGGGGGAATTTTAAAGGACATTTAGGAGCCTGAGCTTGTAATAGGGATGTAAACAGCTTCTGAGAAACTGCCTCTAAGCCTTAGCCACAGCAGACACAGCTGCCCTGGGGGCCAGCATACTCCCCACCAGCTCTCTGCGCCTCCTGAGCTGTAGGATTTGCCCAGGTAAGGAATGAGCCTCTGCTGGGGACTGGGGCACCCTTATGCCAGGAGCTGTAAAGCCATGCCCAGCTCTACTCCAGGGAGCTTGCAAGGCAAATAAAAGATGGGGACTCACAGACACAGCAACAGGCTGGAAGTACAGGAGGATGGTGTAACAGATGAGCAGCGGGGAGCAAAAAAGCCAGTTGAAGACTGAATTTTGTAGGAAACTTGTGCTAATATTATTATTTTTAACAGAGCTAAAGCAAATACAAACCTCTGGCATATGTCAGCATCCATGTCTTACAAGGAAAAGCAAAAAGATACAGCTGCAGCCTACACAGAGCTGACACAGAGCCAATAAAGTTATTGATGGTTCCCCATTTGTGCTTCCCACCTCGCTTTTTCCATGTGGGGAATGGAACCATAGCATCCAAGGAAAAAGTCTCACATGGAAGATGAAGCATCGAAGACTCAGTAGTACAGCAAGTTTTGGCCACATTGGTGTGGCCTATGTACCTCGTTCTTTAGCTGTGTGTCCTGCTCCCATCTAAACCATTCCTCCAGCGTGTGCCGGGTATGGCCAGCAGCAGCTTGGCAGCTTCAGTACAGGACATGGGGACGGGGTGCTGAAGACTAACAATTCGCTTTCACATGTGTGCTACAGCACAAGTAAATTCAAGAAGTCTGATGATTAAGACCATGGTTTTGTCTGCTGGATCCCCTGGGAGCATAGGGTGGCTCTAAATGAGCTCAGAGACATAGTCATGGTTGTGAGGATGAAGAAGATGATACCAGAGCTGAGATGGCTGGGACTAGTCATCTCTTTAAGCTCTGTGATGGTGGGGAGGGATTAGATATACTTAAATATGCAAATCATTTTTTTCTCCTGTAGATATAACAACCACAATCTTCAAGGGAGGCACTCCAACCTGCCCATAACAGCAAACTATTTACATCATAATGTTTTCTCCTTTAGGATCCCAATGCTCACGCAATTGATCTCTTCAGGCTTCATTCACTCCCAAAGCAAAAAACCCCAGTATATCCCTTACCAATAAAACAAGCAAGGCACCTCCACAGCTGCAGGACGGGACTGAAGAACAGGACTGTAATAGGCACGAGGAATAAAGGTTTTTTTGTTGAAACCACCCAGGTTTTGTTGAGTCTTAAGACAAGAGGGCTAAAGGGGCATCATATCACAGCCTTCAGCTGTCCAATGGAGGGTACAGAGAAGATGGGGATCAGACTTTTCTCAGAAGGGAAAAGTGACACAACAAGAGGCGACAGACACAAGGTGAAGCATCAGAAATTCCAGTTAGACACAAGGGAAAATGCTTTTCACCATGAGGGTGGTCAAGGCACTAGAACAGGCTGCCCAAGGAGGCTATGGCTCTCCATCCTCAGCTCAACTCGACACAGTCCTCTGCAACCTGGACTAAAGGGACCAGCTCTAAGCAGGGGCTGGCCCAGATGACCTCCAGAAGTCCCTTCCAGCTGAATTATTCTGTGATTCTTTGCATACTACCTGCCACTGACCATGGCAATCACCCTGAGAAATATCATTACACTGTACATTTTGTTTATTTTTCAAAAAAAAAAAAAATCTAAGTATAAATCTCAATGCAGGAAACAAGCTTATGCTACACACCACCAGCAAACAGCACCATGTGCAATCACATTATATATGGCCACATAGGTTAAGGCTGTTTCTGCTGATAATGGAAAGGAGCAAGAATCTGCAAACCTTTTTCCAGAGAAGTGGTTGCCACCCCACAATCACCAGACCAAACAGGTACAGTGCAGGGGGACACGGGACATAGCAGTAGCAAGGATGAATCAGATTGCGAGCAGAAGCGTTTTCTCTTTCCTCTTTGATGATGATTTCTTCATCTTCTTAGGGTTTGGTGCCCTGGGGAAGCTGGCTCCCCTGAGACTGCTCACAGCACCCCAGGTGTTGTCCATTTCAGTGAACCTGGGTTTTTTGGTCAGGTTAACAACCTAAGTAAGGTCTCTAGATTCCCTCTGTGGTCTAAGGTGGGAGATGCATGTTCAGAAGACAATCCATCCCATTAACCTTAGATGCCTCTCTTACAACAACATTCACTTGACTGACTTTAAATTATAGGAATATGGCATGAGATGAATCACGCCCCAGAGGTGCCCGCTCCTTCCCCTTGGCCTGGATGAGGTGTAAACCACAAGCTGAGAGGTGAGCGTTGCCATTAGAGATCTTTAAGGTGGTTGGGATTAGCCTCAGCCAAAGGGATGCCTGAGAGTGGTACAAGGTCTACATCAGGGATGCTTTCTCCTGTGGCCCCTTAAGTAGCCAGGACGGGACAGGAAGAGCTCTGCTTCAGCTAAACAGCTGCTCCTTGGGGTCCCCAAGGCTCAGCGCAAGGAAGGAATCTGAACATCTTTCCCAGGCATTTCTTGGGCTTTGGTGTTCCCCAAAGAGGGATTATGTTCTTCCTAAGGTGGGCAGGCAGGAGTGGAAAAGAGAAAAATTACTCCCTCAAGGTCACCAGTGGTGCAGGGGCAGAGCTGGAAGAGACAGACATTATCATTCTCCTGCTCCAGGCTCTAACAGCTGCCAGGTCATGTTCAAATTACAGGGGCTGTAGACATGCTTTTCAGACCTGTGCTTCTGAGATGAGTTCACCTGCAGGCCAGGTGCTTATATCCTTGTATCAGCACCTATCTCAGAGTGTCTTTCTGAGCTTGCTTTAACACTGCTTTCCTCTCCAGCAGCCTTCAGTTCATCCATTCTCTTGCCACCAGGTAGTCTTTTGGGGCAAGCAGGGAGATACCGAAACCACGAGACAGCGCAGTGTTTGGTGCCTATGCCAAATGGAAGATCATAGACCTTGGAAATGAGCTGAAAATTGTCCGCCTCTCCCTTATGGCTGTTCTTCCACGCCAGGAGCCCCCGCTCCTCCTGCGTTCCTGCAACAGCAAAAATGAGATCGTTGTGTTTAAAACAGCGGGTGTTCTGAGCATAGGACTACCTTGTGCGCCTCACACCCACGTCTCAAATCCCAGCAGACCCAGCACAACAGATCCCTTGCACTTAAACCCTTCTAGCTCCAAAGCTCTTTACAAAAATTCGCTAACGAACTTCTAGACGATACCCATCTTCCTGCAACAGCTTCTAGATATGCAGTCTGCTGCTTTCTACAATAATCAAGTAGACCAAGACAGGTTTTTCACACGCCATGAGGCATCCAAGAATTGTTCAAAGCAGTGTGCGTGGGGGGGGGGGGGTGTCATACAGTGCTAGGAAAGCAAGGCTGGATGTTAACTGCCCAGATACTGTGGAGTGGGGGAATAGTTTTAGCTAGCAATTACTAGTCAGTCACAGGCATTTACCCTAGCCAAGGACTTGCTAAGTGCCTGTAATTGTTGCAGAGGCTGAGTCCCTCTTGGGAAAGCGAGTGAGCACACCTGGAAAGTCTGCCGGGAGGAGCTGAAAATCAAGGGCTGAAAGAAAATTAATGAGCCAAAAGGAGACTGCCTTTCCAAGAAGCCTGAGATGGTAAAAGGATCTAGTTAACAGTGTCCTTCCTGCTCTTTTTCTGTAGTAGAAAAGAGGGCTTCTTCTCCTATTCTTATGCTGTCCCTCCCCGGGCTCGATGAAAATCAGAGGCTCTTTGCTGTCTGTGAGGGCCAGCTGCAGGTGCTATATCCTATCTTTGGCCACCAGCCTTTCCTACTGCTTTCCACTGCTGTGGCACCAGTTCAGCCTCAGTTTTAGCAGCTCTCGTAAGGAGGCATGCATTGGCTCCTTCCACTTCTTGTAGTTGCCTTTCTCTCTCCTTTCAACCAGCAACATGGCTCTAGGCTCGCATTTTCCCTAAAAGACATTTTTCCCAAATAAACGTTTTCCTCAAACTGCGTTGTTCTTGAAAAATGAGTTAGTTTTTGATAAGCTGCTGTTTTCCAACCAGAGACCTCTTCAGTGATGTCTCCTGTTCCTCTCGCCTCTCTGGGAGGAGTTCAGTTACATGGTATTTCATGGTTGCTAGCACAACTCCTACCCATACAGCAGGAGTCATAAAGACAAAAAATACTAGGAAACAAACCCTAGGGCAGGCACAAACTAGTAGCTTAGCTCATTTCAGCAAATCCTACCTGGAATGGTGTTATCAAGGATAAAACCCAGGAGTCCACCCACAAACATGCCAGTGGTGAGAAGCACCTGGATCACCTGGTCCAGCTGGAGGATTCCTAGCAGAAAAACAAAGCTTTGGATAGTGGTGCCGAGACACGTATGTTTGACCAGCAACATACCCCGTGCCAAGAGGCTGCAAGCTGCACGCATGTTTAGACAAGACTTGCAAATCCCAAAGCAGAGCTTAAGATTTGGCAATGCAAGGGAGATTGATCTCACTGCCAGTTCCAGACTTATGGTTTTATTCTACATAATTATTCACTGACCCAGTGACAGGAGATGACTCATAAATACACTAAGAGCCTATTAACAGCGCAGACCACAGCACTGTCCCAGAAAAAGCTGCCTTCTGCTCCAAACTTGTTCTGCACCTCCATGACATAACAGCAAGCAGTTCCCTACAAAAGCACGAGCTTCAGTACCCAAAGAAATATAGGTATATTTAGCATGGGATTTCACCATAAGTTAATAAGGTGTGATGTTTCTCTGTGAGGGCTAATTGACATGAGCAAAACAGCCCAGTGACATAGAGCATCTGATAGACCATCTACAGAGCGTGTGATTTGTGAGCTCAACTCTTTCAACAGCCCACCCAGCACGCTAGATATACCTTAAGAGAGGACACTACTGTAACCGTAGGATAGGGGCCGTGAGACAGAAACTATAGAATCAGGTTGAGATAATTAGTTTGTAACCAAGGTATAGGTAATGAAGCTAACTGACCATGGCAAGGTACAATGCTGCTATGTTCCATGTACAGTCCCTACCAAACTGAACAATAGGTTTGGAGATATTAATCTTATGAAGTAAGTTGCTATGGACAGGTGCACCTACAACAAGGATACTGCGCATGCCTGCATGAAGGGGGTCATCCAGCGGACACGGGTGCAAGACCACTGATGACCACCAGAGACCCCTGAGGACCACCAACTCAAATCACTGAGCATGCATGACGGGGAGGAGAATATGGAAATGAATTCTAAGAAATTATTATCATAGGACTGCCTTTTCTGAGAAAGATGATGAATATGTATATTTTGATTCTATATAACCTGTATGTTGGTGATCACCTGGCATGCACGTTGGGTGGAGCTATCCCCCGTGCATCCAGCGCTGCAATAAAGAATGCCTGCCTTTTAACACTACACTGGTGTTACGAGGTTTATTCCCGGATTTCGGTGACACTACCGCCTTTGTGACAAACACATTAGTCACATGAGACACAATGAAGACGTAACTGTCGGAGGACAGGAAATTTCAATAAAGTGAACTTGATGGAATTTAGTAGAGGAGTCTGCTCTTGTGTTGTGGAAGCACCAAGTTTTATTGTGTATGAGCATGTAAGAAAACCTCATTCACTGAGATCTTAATCAGGATTCAGCCCTGGAGTATTCTCCTGCCCAAAGCCCCATCCTGGGAATGAGTCCCAAGGAGGAGCTCTGCAATCCTTAGCCCGACAGGAATCTGGCAAGGTGCAGACACTAGTCAAGAGCAGAGATTTCCACACCATAGCTGTGAGTGAGAGCAAAGGGCAAGAATAGCCCTCACAGAAAGAAACACACCACAGTCAAAGCACAGCTTTCAGGGTTTTATCAGGAAAAGCTGCATTTTAACAGATGTCTCTGGATCAGCCTTTGCTTCAGTTTTATGCTACTTCTGATGTCGTTTCTTACCTGTTTCCACCAGTGTACTATTTTTGCTTGCCCAGTTGGGAACTGTGAGGCCAGCAAACAGAGAAAATCCAAAGATAAAGATGTTTCTGGAGGAGTTCATATCTGTGTACTGCATAGAGAAATTGTATACATTACATTTGGAATTACCCAAATCTGTGGATTACTGTTGTGTTCATGAGACATGCTCGGATGTAAACACTGCATGCAGGAGTGGACCTGGGCAGCAGCCCCTGCGCTGCTGGGGCGTTAGGGATCCTGCTGCCCGGGGTGCCAGCAAGCCCTGCCCTGGCCAAGGAGTACTCTGTGATTTCACCTGTCTGGGTACGTGCCCTTATGTTCACCCAAGGAACTGCCAATGCAAATGTTTGCATTTGCTGCAGCGTGGTTATGTCTGACTCAGCCTGGTAAGAACCTGACTTGAAACCAAAGTCCCCTTCCCTAGGTATGAAACGGTGCTCATAAAGCTGTTACCTGCAAATTAGAAATCCCCACTGCGGTGATAACTCCAAACATCACAAGGAACATGCCTCCGATCACAGGGGTGGGTATGCTGGCAAGCATCGCCCCGACTTTCCCAAAGATGCCGCTCAGGAGCATGGCACAGGCACCAGCAACAATCACCATTCGACTCCCTACCTGGGGCAAGAGGAAGAGGAGGCAGTCACGCACCGACCGACCGGCGCAGAGAGGTGAGGGATGGCAGGCTCCAGTGCCAACCTGCCGGGCAGGGGTTGCACCTCGGGCCGAAGCACTCGATGGTACGTTCAGTTGCAGGTTCAGGGATGAAAAAGACATTTAGAGATTTTTCGGAAACTAAAAAGAAAAGCAGCAATATTTATTAGACTTTCAGTTCAGGATACACCTTGCCGCACCAACACTTGGACAGCTTAAAGAATCAAGCTAAGATTTACAATGTTTGTGTCTTAGGCAGGGAAACTCTGTAATCCTCTGCAAACATTTTATAATTCAATTAAATATTTTAATCCTTCCCTTTAAATATCTGAAGAATGTCATATTTCCAGGAAGGACCTTTTGTGAATGCTTTCAGCAACAACTTTCCCAGTAACTAGTAGAGTCTCTTTTTAAGTATTTCTTACACATGTCCCTTTAAAATATTTTAAGCCTTACTTGATTGTGAAAGATAAATGAAAATGATTTGGTGGGGAGTTTAAAAACAAAATCATGCATTGCCTTCAGGTGGGCTTTTTATACTCCTTGGCTTAAAACCTTGGAACACCATTACCATCAAAACTGAAATTTAATAAAAGCCAACAGATCTATTTGTTCCAGGATTAGAATGAAGCTTCAGATTCTTAATTTGCCAAAATGTCGAATTACCCAGTATATGGAGTTGGCCTTAAAGGCAAATTACCTAATCCATCGATAACACAACTGTGAGCATATGCTGCTAAAGCCTCTAGTTTAGAGTTTGTTTCAGTTATGTCAGGAAAACAAGAAAATCAGTTGTGTTTCTTAAGGTGGAAGAAACTGCACAGTTCCCTACTATCTATATGGTGACTGAGGTCTTTACCTCTCCTTAAAATCCTCCTCTTCATTTCTTGGAAATGAGAGTTCAGTACTGGCATGCTGGGCTTGATCAAGCAGCTCAAACATAGGCGCCTGGTGCCATTTAAGATGTTGCATCTTGGCAGCTTCCAGCAGCTTCTCCTTTGCCTTATCTGACAGCCCCTGTGGATATCCGAGATATCCAAATACGTTTCAGGTGGTGCTGGACACCTCTGTTTAAGCAGAGGAAACAAGTCCCTTGTATTTCCCTTTGTTATGGAAAAAAGTGTTTCCCACATAAAAAACAAAAGGAAACCTGCCTTGTGCTCTCAGCAGAGATAGATATCCTAGCCAGAGTCCTCACACTGATTTAAGGTTGACTGAGATGAGATGGTATTTTCTGCTCTCTTAAGTGTGAACAAGGTGAGCAGAGGTGGGATCTAAGGAAAACATCTCTCCTGAATCAGCAATGATGGCATGTCCACCTGATGGACTTAGCGTACACGGGGAGAACATGTCCTGTAATCTGATAATTATGAGTCTGGGCACTTCTGTGCTAAGCTACATCCCATATATACAATTTATGCAGCAAAGTACGTGTCAGGAAAGAATGGGCTCAGGTATATGCACAATATGCACAGACTTCATCGTGACAAGGTACGTGGGGTCACAGGCTAAAATGGACTCTATGTGACATCCAGACAGCCCTTGCTGCTGGAAGCAGCCACCTCGGTCAAACACGCTTCAGCCTGTGAAAAATGCTTATTGTGAGTGAGATTTATAAAATCCAGTGAAATAAGCAATATTATGGAGAGGAAGCCCCAAGTCATATTCTGCATTTATTTACTGACTCTCAGCTCTGCTGACATGATATTACTTATTTGACAACGATTTAAAAATGTTCTTCAGTTGGCTGCTGGATGTACCCATCCCCTGGCTGTAAAGCTTTGTGAAAATCTATGATCTGATTGTCAAGCTTATCTCTGGAAATTTCTTTCCCTTACAAGAGCAATAAGATACTCAAGGGATTCACAAAATTTTATAGAGAGGTAAAAACATAAACCTTTGCTATCACATTTTATAATCCCAAAGAAATAGTCTACCTTTCACACGATTGCCATCCTTTGGTTATAAAAATTCTGGAATTTGAAGCCCTATTAACTATTTTCTTTTTCTCTTTTTTCTTTTGCCTTTTCCAGGTTAGTGTCACCTAAGCCAGGTGCTGTGAGTACCACCAGATGCACTCCTCCCACGTGGAGACCATAAGCAGAGAAAGAGAGGGACTGACCACCTCTGTTAGGCGACTCGTACTGCTGCTGAGGTGGTCACCAATGTGCCAGGGCACATTTTTCCAGCGTGCCTTGCAGGAGGTGGGCTAAGATCACATCTCAGGTCCAGCGCATACCCATGTGCACTACTCTTTTGTACATACACCCCCAGGGGAAAACTCCAGGAGGGCCAGGGCACTGCAGCCACCCTGCTGCAGCAAGGCTTACCTTGGTGATGCCCAGGGCTCCCACGTTCTCGCTGTACGATGTGGTGCCATTCCCCGTCCCCCAGGCCCCAGCCAGGAGGCAGCCGATGCCTTCCACCCCGATGCCACGGTTGATGGCATGCTTCGGCGGCGGCGGTGCCCCAGACAGGCGGGCACAGGCGTAATAATCTCCCACGGACTCCAGCATGGAGGAAATCACCCCAGCTAAGATGCCAAATATCCCAGCCAGGCTGATGGTTGGCACTCCCCACTGGCCTGCAAGTAAAGAGCTCAGTTCAGGTTGGTGGGGCACAGTTGCCCTGAAATCTATTGTGGGGGATGCTTGTGGGTGTTTGCGTCATTTTTGGCATTTCATCTCCCCCTACTAGCCATAAGCGGAGGTGCAAGCCGGAGCAGGGAGCAGCATGGTGGGATGGGGAAAGGGAGGCAGTGGTACCTGGGTAAGGCAGACGAAACCAGGGAGCCTGGGACAAAACATCCCCACGGGTGTCTGTCCGGGCCAGGTGGCCGTAGGTGGTGGGGTCCGTAGGGAGGACATCGGTCACTGTCAGCACATAGCAGAGCAGCCAGCTCAGGGAGAGCCCCAGCAGCACCTGCCCATCACATGCAGCAGAGGAGTCTGGTTAGGGCATGGCCATGTCTCTGGCACAGTTGTGGGGGACAAAGTGTCTCCCTGCCTGACCCTTTCCCCTGCACATGGGATGGAGGCAGAGGGATGGCAGGGGGTCCTGGTGGCCCTCCCTCCTTCCCTCCCCACATGTAGGGTCATGGGGACCTTCTCCCCCTGTGCCTCCTTGCCACCCAGGCTGGTCTGCGAAGCACTAACTTGGCTGGACACCAGTGGAAAGAGCCCGGGCAGCCCGGGCTGGGTGAGGCCAGTCCCTCTGCCACAACCACTGGGTCTCTGGGAACCCCATCATACCGGGAAGATCTGGAAGAGGTAGACCGGGGAGAAGTGGCACTTCTTGCCTCTCTGGTAAGACGGCAGTGGCACAGGGACATCTTTCAGGTACTGAGAGAACAGAACTATGAAAGAAATAGTCCTAGGAGGAGGGAAAACCAGACCATGAGACAAAAGGAGTGCTGAGCTGCCCACCTGTCCCCACATTAACTGAAGACCTGCTACGTGAGGACCCAGGACTTCAGAGACCCCAGAAAACGGGCTCTCAGCACCAGAGAGTGGCTCCCCACTCCAGCAAGCCTGGGGTGGAAAAAGCTTTCCATCACACTCTACTGACAGCTGTGCTGCATTTGCAAATGCTTTTTTTCCCCCTTTTGTTTCCAAACTGACCCCCCAGATGGTGCATCACTGAGTATGACACAGTTGCCAGAGCTTGAAAATGATGAGTAAAAGAAAAACCTGAGAGACATGCAAGGTCCAGGTAGACTATGCAGGAAAATGTCCCTGAACCTCTGTGTAATTCAGATATACTGGGAATATTGGATTTATTAGTTTCCTGATTTCAGGTTTACCTATGCTGCTCTGCAAGTGGCAAAAAGCTCCTACATGGCACAAAGAAAGAGGATTTGTTTGTGCAAGTCCCTGTTTTGAAAGAATAAACCCACGGTGGGGCTGCACGTAACACCCACAGAGCCCTCACAGTCAGCCAAGAAGGGGAGAGCATGGCCCTTCAGGTTGCGAGGGCTGTGCAGCAGAGGGGTCCTCCAAGGCAGAGGTGCTCACGTGTGCCCCTGGCAGCACCTGGGGCTCATTCTGGTGGAAGCAACCATGAGGTGCAGCTCCTCTCCTATCCCTTGTGTAGCACATATCTCCCACAAATGGCAGCACAGCTGGGTGTGCTCACAGTAAGTCCTGTCTGCCCCCGGTGTGTCTTCCCCCCAGAAAGGGCAACCAGATGAAGCTGGAGGCTGCGACAGGCGGTGAGAAGGCAGGGAATGGGCACCTCACCTTGACTGCTGAGCTGGTAGATGACCTTGGCCATTTACCTCCTATGTTAACCAGGCCTCTGATGTGCTCCTCATTTTTTTTATAACAAATCTGAATTGTATACATTGAGTGAATTAATCCAGATAGGATTTGGCAAGAAATCGATTGCAGCAGCTGAAGTGCACTGATGGTGCAAAGAAAACTGGCAGTTTTCCATGCATGAAAAGGTGACTCGTTATAGGTGCAATATTCACAAGCAGGAAGAACACCAGCAGTGCAAAGGAAACACTGCAAAGACACATCATGACATACAGCCAAAGTTTATCTGTCAATCATGATTCAAAGCACTGAATGACTGGAGGCAGAAAGTCTGGGGCAGAACTGGTTTCCATTCGTGGTTTCTAAAGCTACAGAGCCCAGACAAACTGCGTCAGTGCACATTTTGTGCATTTGCATTAACAAAGGTGCTCGGCAGCCTTATGAATCACTGCAGAGCCCTCATCTGTCTCGGGCAGGTGTCCCTGCTTATTATTCAGGTTGCCTGACACATTCCATTAACAAATGCTATTTTCAGCTGCTTATAATTCTGCCTAACTTTACCCATTCAGGATGAAAATTTCCATGGAAAATGTCTGCCTCAAGCCAAATATTTCTGGAAAAACATATCCCAAACCTATTTCAAAGAGTGTTGTTCAGGAAATAGACATAGCCTGGATTGAGAAGGTCATTTTGCCTTGAGTAGTAGCAGGGTCTGCTTATGACCTGGAGCAGAAATTTGAGATTTAGTGGAACTTGTTTTTTGAGGTGAGTGATATTGCTCTTTGTCACAAAAATCTGCTCAACTATGATCAGTCTGTAACAATGATCATTCATCCCAGGTCCCAAGCAGTCAGCAGAAACATCTCAGGCTTTAGCATTTGCAGCTCATAAAGTTTCCAAGCTTTCTGAGTACATCCAGGCCTTGCCCAGTGATGACCTGTGTATGAAGCATGCAACTGAGCACGCACTAGACCAGTTTCTTGAGGCAACAGCAGGTATCGCCCATCATGGGGGCTCTGGGATGTGATGGGGCTGGATAGGAAGGCTGAGACCACATGGCTCATGTCTTCTGCCTTCTTTATCACCCATCTCCCCCTTTCCCTAATGGCACCCACATAGCATGGCGGAGGCAGCAAAAGAGGACACAAACTCAGACAGCTCAAAGCACAATGGTCAGGTTGGGGCTAAGGTGTCTGAGTCAGGAAAGAAAGGACTGGGATTAGCACAGGTAGAAGATGGGACAGAAATCAACAGGACAGAAAGGGTAACCAGGGTTGAAAACAGGGACATGGGCTGGAGGACTAAGACCCCATTAATGGAGTAGCACATTTGGGCAAAAGAGGTCAAGTGAGGGACTGAGGTTAGGAGCTAATGACTGGAGAAAGGAGGCAGAAAACAGAGATAGTCCAGACAAGGATACACATTTTGAAGGGAAAATTCAGACAGACTAAGCAAAGGGGCTAGGACAAATAATCAGAGCTGGAGAACAGGACAACGAGCCAGGGATGTGGTGGGAGAAACAATGGTGAAAGGAAATCTGGGGGGCAGGCAGTGTTTGGGGTTGTATGGGGTGCTGGTGCAAGAAACCAGTTAGCTGAGGAACTGGAGGTGGAGAAGAGAGGTGACTTTTGGGGCCTGGGAGGGCAGGTGTGGGGAGGAAAGAGAATCAGAGAGAGGTGGACTGGAGCATGTCCCCACAATGGCACACTTGCCTTCCTGGGCCTGCAGTCAAGCCTGACCCCTGAGTCTCCAAAGGCAGCTCTGAAAGCACTAGCAAACTGATGGGAGCCCACAGAGAGAATAACAACCTCCTACTGCCGCGCGTTATCCCAAGCTGACGTCCACATTAGGGATCTGAAGTGCCAAATCTGCAGGGAAACCATGCAGTGGCATTTCTACTTTTGTAATTCATTTCTGAAACACCAAGGAAATTCTGCCACCAAACACACTCATACACTCACGCACAAGGGCACGCACACAAATATCCCCAAAAGAGTACCTAATGCTGCAAAGCCACATGAGCAGACAATTCCAGAGCCCCCCAGGCCCTCTGTGAAGAAAACAATTCCTCCTTGTCATGTGAAAACAATACATAAAGCACCAGCTATTTTAACTGCAGGAATACCTAACTGTGAGTGCTCAACTTTTTGTCATTTTTAGGAATGTCTTTTTGACTTAAATAATGGGTGTGTAAGACAGTGTGTGTAGACAACTGTAATGGAGACTAGCCCCAGGAACCACACACGGGAAAGACTTATTTCTGTACTGACCTATGAACTTCAGAGTTTCACAAAATCAGATCTTTTAACTCATTTTTGGGTTTTGCTTTGTAGCTGAGGGCTCTAAGCTCCAGGGCCGGGGCGGGGGATGGAGGACTATGCCATGATGCTGTCTTGCAGAAGCTTGCTGCATGTTAGTGCTCAACAAATAAACCTCAAACCCAGGGGAACCCTGCCACAGACTGTGACACATCGTTTCATATTAGAGGTAGGCAGTTTGTGTACGGTCAGCTTTCCCACGGGGAAGTGAGACTTACACGAACGCTATGCCCCAGTGCTGCCCAGCATCATCCCCAGCTGAGTCAAAGAGAGGTAGCGCGACCAAGGTGATGGTCGGGGCAATTGTCAGGGGGCCAATGAATCTCATCAGAAATCCGATCAGGCCAGAAAATCCAACAAGGATTTGAAAGCAGGAAGCTACCATGATCGCTCCTTGCACCTGGAAAAATGGAGGAAGAGAGCAGAGGTTGAAAGGAGCTCCAGCTGTCGAGCCTTTTCTTCATAAGTCAGTGTAAAACCAGTGTGAGAGCAAAGCTCAGCCTCCAGTGACAGCCTAGCACAGAGGCTTCCCACTAACTACAGCAAAGCCTGGCTGAGCATTATGTGTGGGGAAGGACCACCTAAGAACCAACACACCAAGTCCCCCTTTGGCTGATGGATTTAGTCCTCACCAGGGCTAATTTTGTTCCAAAGACCCCCCTCCTCCCTGGCCTCCTGGGCGACCCAAGCATGCATCAGCTTCCATGCACTCTCTTCCTGCTCCTCCAAAACTCAGGGGTAAAGCTCTTGACCAGAAAATGGGAGCAGGGCCATGGTGTCCACCCATCTCCCATCTGGGAAGGGCTTGGGGCATTTCAGCACACTGGTAGGGCAGGTGAGTCATTACAGCCTCTGTTTTTTTCTGAGTATCGGTTTCCCTCCGGGGAACACATTTATCACCCTGAACTTTCCTGTGTTTGACAATCATTGCTAAGCAGCCAGCGATTACATCCTGAAATGCCATTCCCTGTTCACACCAGACTCAGGGGTGAGGCTCCTCTCTGCCTTCACAGATTTGGTGATAAACCCAGTCCAGGTCCTCTGCCGTGCTCAGCACCTTCCCTACCCTGGCTGCAAAGGGAAGAGAAACACAGGGGCTGGGGTGAAGCACCCAGCCTGAAAGGAGAAGGCAGCACTGCCCTTGTGGCAGATTTATGAGTGTCAGTAGGGAGGGCAGCCTGTGCTGCACAGCAAATTCTTCATGAGCTCACACTTCCCGAGCGCTTTGCAAAGCACCCCAACATATGGATTGAGAGAGGCAAGTTTAGCCACCTAGTCTGATAAGGACTGATGCGGGGCAAGGCACTGAGATCCCTGACCTTTCTTTCTCTCTTTTGACTACCTAAGAATGCACTTTTCCTTAACATTTACAGTAAGCTCTGCCCTTGCCTTTCTTTTTACTAGGTTTCCTGTGCTTAGACAGTGTCCCTTCCTTGGAAACATATTCCCTCCCTTCCTTCCTCAAGGCTAACCACATGTCCTGGTTTCAGCTTGGGATAGAGTTAATTTTCTTCCTAGCAGCTGGTTAGTGCTGTGTTTTGGATTTAGGATGAGAAGAACGCTGACAACACGCTGACGTTTTTAGTTGTTGCCAAGCAGTCAAGGACTTTTCAGCTTCTCATACTGGCCTGCCAATGAGAAGGCAGGGGACAACCAAGAAGCTGGGAGGGGGCACAACCAGGACAGTTGACCCAGACTGGCCAAAGGGATATCCCATACCATATGATGTCATCCACGTCATCAGTATATAACTGGGGGAGTTGGCCAGGAGGCAGCATGGCTCAGGAACTAGCTGAGCATCGTTCTGGGTGGTGAGCAATTGTGCTGTGCATCACTTGTTTTTGCATACTGTATTATTACTACTACTATTATTATTATCATCATCATCATCATCTTCCTTTTCTGTCCTATTAAATTGTCTTTATCTCAACGCACCAGTTTTATCTTTTTCTTTTCGATTCTCTCCCCCATCCCACTGAGGGGTGGGGGTGAGCAAATGGCTGTGTGGTTGTTTTAGCTGCGTGTCAGGTTAAACCATGACACCACACTTCATGGAGAAAGGATCTGGCTGGACCAGTGGAGACTTAGCAGGGACCATAAATCACCTGAGGTCTGCATATCCCTTGTTCAGCAGCAGCAAAGCATCTGCTTTCCTAATGGAGACTAGATGCTTAGGAAGCTGCAACAGGGTGAGGGCCAAGGTCCATTGGGGATGGTGGGTTCTCCAGCACTGATGGCCCTGTCACGGTCAGGTGTTTTTCTGAAAGCAAAGAGCCCTGATACAGAGCAGGTGTCACTGAAAATGTAAGATACCTCTCGCATCCGTGTCTGCCAGACTTCGATGAACTCTGGTGAAGAGGCATTCACCAGGGTAGCATTCTGTGTCCAGGCAGGGCACTTCCACTTGGGGAGAGACAGCATGGCCAGGGTTGGGGTCAGGAATGCAAAAGTGCCACCTTGAATAATAGGCAACCTGAAAGGAGAGCAGAGGGAAAAGATGACGAGCAAGAATGCTAGAAACCCAGCTCTATAGGGGTGAGTGAAAGAAAAGTGAAATAAATTTAAAAATTGGTCTGCGCATAGCCTCTGTCAGTATCTTTTGAAATGTTCTGGCAGGTCTCCATCACTGACCATGGGTGGGCATTGCTGCCCATTGCACTCAAGAGCAACATACCTGGGGGAAAAGTTCAGGTTCAAACACTGCCAATGGAGAGGCTCATCGGGGCCAGAGTCAAACTCTGCTACCCCACGTGAACGGAGAATTATTCTTCCTAAGGTGTGACTAGACCACGGAGCTTCACAGAATAAAACAACAACCAAAGGAAAAAACTGGAGCAGGAGAGAAGACCAAGGAAGAACGATGGTGAGACTCTGAAGAAAAGCTTAGCATCAACCTAGGCCAAAATCTTTCCAATATCCAGTTGCTTCCTCTGTCCCCTTCAGCTGCTTCCGTTTTCTTCACAACTTGCTCATGAACACAAAGACATGCACTGGCTACTCCCCACGTCACAACCATCTTCACACTGAGGGTAGTGGAAAATGTGACTTGGCTTTTAGTACAGTTTTTTAAAACCTAATGACTCTGCCCTGTTTCCACTGACACTGGAAAGGAAACCTGCATGGACGGGTCTGAGCCTGCTGGCTGGGTGAGACCCTGGCTCTCCCCCCACGCCATGTGTCTCCTGGCTTAGAGTAACCCTCACTCTGGAAAACCCTCAGGCTAGCAAAGAGCTCGCACCTCCGGAGGCACTCAGCACTGGCTTCATCCAGAGCTTTGTACAGCGGAGCCGGTGCTCCTGTGAGCTACGCCAGTTCTTCTCCTCCCATGCAGGGAGAAATGGAGACAGAGAAGCTGCCACAGGCATTAAGTCCCTGTTGCAGTGCAAGTTGTTTTGGCCATTCCTCTAGCTTGAAAAACCCAAAGATGCCCGAGGGGCAACGCTCTGAGCAAGCTGAGGGAAACCTCTGAGGTGCCTTGGCTTCCTCTGTTAAGAAATCACCTGTGTTGGGTTTGCATGGCAAGGTTTTGGTAGAGGGGGGGTACCTACAGGGGTGGCTTCTGTAAGAAGCTGCTAGAAGCTTCCCCTGTGTCTGACAGAGCCAATGCTAGCCGGCTCCAAGACGGACCCGCCACTGGCCAAGGCCAAGCCAATCAGCGCCTCTGTGATAACATATTTAAGAAAGAG